TTATTATGCTGTGTAGGTTAACTGTGTCCGTTTCGCTGACTCCGCCCCCTCACTTCCCTCCTGGTAATCCTCCAGCATCAGCGCAGCAACAAAGGAGGCTAACACACAAATCGCTACTTTGATTTCAGTTCAAGAGATTTTTACCTATTATTTGGTAAGTATGTCATACTTACATGGCAAAAACATTTTCCTCCCATCGAATACTGGGCGAATTAAAACGGTACTGCTATATGTGTGGTTAATTTTTATTTTCTTCCGATCTTTTCCCCCCCCCATGCTAGCCACCTAGCTAGCGGACCTATAAAAGTCGCTTTGACTTCCGTTTTGCTAAGCTACTTGTGGCTAGCCAGTTAGCTTTGCCGGTGTCTTGTGATTATAAAGTAAAAACGATGGGTTGTGTTTGCTTTAGCGTTTAAAAGGAACATACACAATTCAATAAAACAATATGTGATAGTATAAATATGATTAGTATTTTTTTTCAGTTCCGCTAAAATTGTACAGTTAAGTTGAAAAGTTAGCAATAGGGGCCACAACATTGGTTAGCCTGTGTAGTTTAGCATTAAGTATTTTGTAAACAGAGTACCCTTCTTGTCTAGTTTTAATCGATGTCGTGTAGAGCTGCTCAGACTCGCAGCTACATATTGAAGGTGTAAATTATGGTGAAGTGGGTCAGATGGAATAATTAGTCAAGCTTTGAATCCGGGGTGGGTCAGAGCAGCGGAAATGTATCATCGTGGAAAAAAGAACCTCAAATCAATTGACTAAACATTTAATCCGCAATCAGCTGATAATATGTAGGTTCTCGGTTTTATGAGTTCTGTGTTGCTGACGGGCTCTTTATTAGCAGCACTGATGTTGACATTGTCACAGACAGTCATTATTTAGCTGCGGGTGTTGGTTTTAGACGGGTTTGGGGTTGTGTCAACACAGCTGAAGACTGAGGGCTGATCATGGTTTATCACAGGCGCAGCGTTAGTTGCATAATCCTCAGTCAAATAAAAATGACCCGCCCTGTTAAACACATAATGATTTTATATAAATATTCTAACTGCTACTCTTCTGTCCCTCCCATCTGCAGCTATGGCAGCAATCAGGAAAAAGCTGGTTATAGTGGGAGACGGAGCCTGTGGGAAGACCTGTCTGCTCATCGTGTTCAGCAAGGACCAGTTCCCTGAAGTCTACGTGCCTACAGTGTTTGAGAACTACGTTGCTGACATTGAAGTTGATGGCAAACAGGTATGAAATATTTTCTTCCTTTCATACACAGTCATGACAGGTAGTGTTTGTTTACACCTGCAGCTGATGGTGTTCCTTGCACTGCTCTCTCTCAATGTACGTTTAGATTAGAAYATTAGTGGAAATTACTATACTCTTCTCAAGTTTTGGATTCTGTTAAGTTTGCTGAGAATATGAGGATTTAGTAAAGCGTAGGTTCTTCTAAGAACTTTCACAGAGTGGATAAACAAGTATGTATATTAGTTTTTATATGTCCCTGTCAGGAAAATAAAATTCAAGTCATATAAACCTGCACTGTCTGGCTTTGTCTAAAATTCATTCTGTGTAATACATGAGGTTTTCTTGTATCAGGGAAGTGGTGCCCTTTACAAGAAAATAAACAAACAAACAAACCAATACTGTAGGATTGAGGCATACTTAGTTTGGAATATATGCTTATTCTCCACAACTAAAACTCCTGTGTGTACGCAGTACAGTGACTTATTCCTTTACATTAAAAGTCTTCTTTTAGTGAAGGGTTGTTCAATCAGGTCCTCGAAGTACGCTGTCACACATGTTTTTCTTGTTTCCCTGCTCCAGCACACATGATTCAAAGGTTGACTTGCCTCTTCGAATTCTGCAGAAGCCTATCAATCACCTGTTTATTCAGATCAGGTGTGTTGGAACAGAGAAACCCCTAAAACATGCAAGATAGTCYGCCTCAAGGACCAGGATTAGACACCTTTGTTAAGTGTAATACTTACTATTATCATCCATCCATCTTCTGTACACGCTTCTTCCTTTTCAGGGTCACGTGGGTCACTGGTGCCCATATCCAGCAGTCACAGTGCGAGGGGCAGGGTACACCCTGGACAGGTCGCAAGTCCATCACAGGGCCACACGTAGAGACAYACGAGACAAACAACCATTCACTCTCTCACTCACACCTAGGGACAATTTAGAGTTATCAATTAACCTGACAGTCATGTTTTTGGTCTGTGGGAGGAAGCTGGAGTACCCGGAGAGAACCCATGCATGCACAGAGAGAACATGCAAACTCTGCCCAGAAAGGTCCCCGGACCAGGATTTGAACCGGTGACCTTCTTGCTGAGAGGCATCAGCTCTACCAACTGAGCCACCGTGCCGCCCTTACTATTATCATTCTATAGTAATTTTAGAGAGTAGACAGAAGACCAGGTTTATTTTTATCTGATATTAAAAAGCACATTAATTTCCTAATTATTATTTTAATTAGTGCATTGTCAAAATCAAGCTGAAGCAAAGGATCCCATGTTTTGGCTAAAGAAGAAGGGTTGAATGTTGTTCTCTGTGAAATAGTATTTTTTTAATGTAAACAATTTATTTATGGACCAGATTAAATATGATCTATACATACAGTCACTTAAGTAGACTGTGACAATGAGTTTTTTTCTCTTCAGCTGATAACTTTTAAACTTTTGGCAGGTTGAATTAGCTCTGTGGGATACAGCGGGTCAAGAAGACTATGACAGGCTCCGCCCTCTCTCCTATCCAGACACTGATGTCATTCTTATGTGCTTCTCCATCGACAGCCCAGACAGTCTTGGTAAGTACAAAGACTTGTGACAGAACTGATGGCACGTTACTTAACCTCTGATTTCTCAGTTGGAAATATTAAAATTGACTGAAATAACTTTGTAGGAATGTAAAACAGAGAACTGGAACATCTAAAGACTTGCAGAATTCATTTTTCAGCCTGAGGCTAWTATACAGTATTCATTCATTTGGTGATTTCACACAAAATTCATGCTTACATTTATTTTTCAAAGCTATAGTTGTTCTATACTGATGWACAGCTTTGAAGTGCTAATATTAAACATAAAAAATGGCCGCTTTTTTGGCCTTCGATTACCATCTTATTTTTTGTGTAAGCCTARGTATTTGAGTTAGGGATGTCATTATGTATTTAAATTGCCTGCTTCTTTTATTTTTATTTGTTCTACTTGTTAAGTAAAAACTGACCTTTAAAGAAGTAATCCTGTGGTGCAAGAAATTACTTTAATGTTGTGTCACAGAACATTTGTACCTATTATAGATATAGGTACAGATTATTTCTTCACAGTAATGTTTGCTGTTTGTAACGTCGGTGCAGCTGTGTTTCTGCTCTTAACGGCTGACATTTTTGTCCCCTCTACTCAGAAAACATCCCTGAGAAGTGGACCCCTGAGGTGAAACATTTCTGTCCTAACGTTCCCATCATCCTGGTGGGGAATAAAAAGGACTTGCGTAATGACGACCACACTCGGAGAGAACTAGCCAAGATGAAGCAGGTAAAAACTTTAGGTCGTGCCACAACGCGCCAACAGCAAACATCAGTTTCCTTAAAGCCTCTTATTGTGTTTTCCTCAGGAACCCGTGAAACCAGAGGACGGGCGGGACATGGCGAACAGGATCGGTGCCTTTGGATACATGGAGTGCTCCGCAAAAACAAAGGATGGTGTGAGGGAAGTGTTCGAGATGGCCACCAGGGCTGCACTACAAGCCAGGCGAGGAAAGAAAAGCAATAAATGTAACCTACTGTAAACGGGGGGCATGAGGACTGCCTCCRACAAGGTGGGGGCAAGAAGGAGAATTAGGCCAATCCTACCCCCAGACAAACCCACACAAAAGACTATTCTCCCTGTTTTTACTAAAGGTGTAATGCTTTTACTGTTTTGTCTTAAGCAGAAGTAGTCAGGTTGTCAGTATTCAACTTTGAGGTTATGGAAAATACTTTTTTTGTACTTTTAACATGAGTAAAAAAGAAAATTGCCATAAGGAAGCCTCCTTTAACATGTATGTAACTGAAAAGGTCAGCCAGGGGACCTGTTGTGTCATAATTGCCAACTACAGCTAAGTGCTTAAGTCCTGCCTGCTGATCTGAGGAATGTGTCCACAGCCAAGTAGGGTGAAGTACCTGCACACTGTGACCTGTAGTCCTTTAACTATTCCCACTAACTGATGCACACATTAAGACTAAACCTCAAATGTGTAAACAAACAATCTTATGTGCATTATGACAACATGCACATCACAAGACTGGAAACCTATTTTGCGAAAACACAAGGGTTTTGTGTGTGAAATTACTTTGTAAGAATAGTAAAAAAAATTACTTCACTTGACTGGGAAACACTGAACGACAACAGTCGAGTTGCAGTATCGCTCAAATATGAAACTAAAGCAAACGCAGGCTCCCAGCAGATTGTTTTCAGGTTGAAATTTAGCGTGGGTGGCCAGTTTAAGGTCTTTTTTTGCATTATGCATTTCAGAGTTGGTCAGGGTCCCGGCTCAGCCATAGTGCAAAATCAAGTGCACTTAGGACGTATGGTGGGCATTACAGATTAATACGAGCCYTTCTTCAGGTGTTGTCTTGTCATTCAGACCTGATGGATGTTGCGTTGTTTTGAAGAAAAGCATACAAGCCCTTAAACTAGTTCTTGAAAAAGCAATTATATGTATTAATCAGGATGTTTTCAATTGAAAAATAAACTTGTCAGTGCTCCCTGGTGGACAAACTAGTGTCTGTTTCCATTTTATCTTTGTGTTAGCAGAGCCGTTGGCCTCAATATGTTAATGTTTTTACTTAAAAACATTTTATTCACATGTACAGAAAATTGTGATATAGATACAGTGGGGAAAATAAGTATTTAGTCAGTCACCAATTGTGCAAGTTCTCCCACTTYAAAAGATGAGAGAGGCCTGTAATTGACATCATAGGTAGACCTCAACTATGAGAGACAAAATGTGAAAAAA